TTTTGAGATGGAGTCTTGCTCTGTCACCCAGGCTGGAGTGCAGTGGCACGATCTGAGCTCACTGCAACCTCCGCTCCCAGGTTCAAGCAATTCTCCTGTTTCAGCCTCCCGAGTAGCTGTGATTGCAGGCATGCGCCACCATGCCTAGTTAATTTTTGTATTTTTAGTATTGACGGGGTTTCACCATATTGGTCAGGTTTGTCTCAAATGCCTGACCTCAGGTAATCCACCTGCCTCGGCCTCCCAAAGTGCTGGAATTACAGGCATGAGCCACTGCGCCCAGCCTCACATCTCACTTTTATTCCTGTCTGCTGAGGGCAAGAATGATGTCTTTATTCCACTTCAAAGCTCTAGTTCAGTGCATTCACAAGAAAACCTGTAGTTAGTGTCTGTTGAACTGCATTGTATCTCCTCTATACTATTGTCAGTCCATTTTCTTTTTTATTTAAAGTATTTCATCTGTTTTCAAGTCTTTTTAAAGATTCTTCTAAATTCATTTTGGGACCATTCAGGTTTTGGGTTATACCTATCTTCCTACACTTTAAATTTCCTATTTTTGTATAGATATATTTCTCTCTGGCTTTGTTTCTCATCTTAGGCAGTTCCACATAGATATTTATAAAGATTTTTCAGATTTTTTTCCAGCTACAGCTTGTTTTGCATTTCATTTTTTTCCTCGTTAAACTCACACTTTGTTGTCATTATTTTTTTCAGAAATTAATGCTGCTCTAGGAGTCATGGAACGACAGGGAGAAGTTTCATTTCTGTTTGCAGAGTAGTCAGCATAGATATTTCACTCTCCTCACCACAGTGCCAAATTTAACTGTTTTTGTTTTTTTTCTGCAACCTCCACCTCCCGGGTTCAAGCAGTTCTCCTGTCTCAGCCTCCTGAGTAGCTGGAACTACAAGTGCATGCCACTAAGCTCAGCTAATTTTTGTATTTTTAATAGAGATAGGGTTTCACCATATTGAGCAGGCTGGTCTTGAACTCCTGACCTCAGGTGATCCATCCACCTCAGTCTCCCAAAGTGTTGTGATTACAGGTGTGAGCCACTGCACCCAGCCTTAACTGTTTTGTTATCGTCACATGGAGGATGAATCAAAAATTCCTTTTATCCTCCAATTTCTACTCATTACTTAGAGTGTACCTAAAGTTATTTATCAGCAAAATTTGAACTGGGAGAAAGATTTCTGATCTCCAAGCTCAGGAGTTGGCTATTCAATGCTTTCTTCCTGTAAAATGTCCATGTCAGCCTTCTGGATATAAAACAGGAAAGCCTGGGTAACAGAGGTAGGTGTGAGATGTCTTGAGTTACATTTCTAGCTCCTCCCTGCTTTGATTTCAGCCACAGCAGCAGTTAAGTTCTGTGTAAGCTCAGATTTATGCTGCCTATATCCTACCCTAAGATGAAACCTGCAGACTCTGCTTTTTTGTATCATGTTAAGGAAGCCCGTTCTGTTTTGAGCACAAATATAATCCAGGAGGGCAGGGAGTTAATAGCCCTAGGGAAATCCTCAACCATTACAGGACGGTATTGATGGATAAATACTGTAGCTTCAAGATGGACAATCCAGAGAGGTATTCTGTATGTTTTTCAGAGGTGAGTGAGGAATAAACAGTGGTATCAATAATGGACAATTATCTTGAATATTTCTTCTTTCTTTTCTCACTCTCCCTGACCTATCAATTTTGTTCCCTGAAAGCACTTCCTAAATAAACTACATGCACCCAAATCTTCGTCCCAGGCTCAAACTAAGCCAAAAATTCGTTCAACAAAATTTACTAAGTGACTGTGCTAGGTACTGAGACAGACAACCTAGAAGATAAAATTCCCAGTGCCTGTCCTGAAGTGTATAGCGAGACAAACAAGGAAACCATTAACAACAACAAAACCACCCTACAATTAAAGTGAAGTAGGAAGGCATGGGGAAACGGGTATCTAACCCCTGCCTGGGGGAGGCGATTCCTGGAGGATGTATTCCTTGAGCTAATGGATGGAGTGTGGATCAAATACAGTAGTAATGACTCTATATGCTATGTATTAGGGTTATGCTCTGCTGCATTGCAGTATGCAGTATATGATGTGATTTTAGGCGGTCCATGGATGGACATTTAAACTTTTTGTAGTTAATGTGTACTAGAATAAAAATAAGGAGCACAACAAACTTCAGTTCACAGAGTATTGTGGTTTCAGATAAAGCCAAAATTTTTTAATGAGTTGAAATTGGCTTTAAATAAAAATATTGAATGAATAATAATACCTAGGTGCAGACTGGCAAAGGTCGTGTAGGTGGTGTACAGACTACCCAAGTTTCAGAAATAGTATTATAGCAGAAGGACTACCTAAAATAAAATTCCTGCCTTCCAGGAACTCAACAGTTTGTTAAGGAACACAGACCCATAAACAGGGGTGATAAATGCTATACTAAATTTGGAAACCAAGTACAGGAGGAAGACAGGAAAACAGTGAAGAGCAAAGTGAGGGAGAGGCTATCAGCTACAAGACCAGTTGGAAGGCTTTTGCTCTAGTCCAGGGGAGAGGTTACAAGAGCCTGAATTAGGGTGTGGCTATAGAAATGGAAGGAATACAAGTAATGTTAAGAGGCTAATTGCAACCCTACTGTGAAAACCTTACTGGTTGCAAGCAGTACGAAGGTGAAACTTGTCCAACCAAGTGCGCGCGCGCGCACACACACACACACACACACACACACACACACACACAAAGTAGTAGGACAGCTGAATTAATCAACTATAATTAAAAGCATACTTTTATTTGGCTTCGGTTATCAGAGTGTTTTAGTGTGAAATATTTAGATATTTGCCCCCATTTTCCCCACTTAACTCAGAAGCTGGAGAAATATTAACACATATGTATAACGCTTTCCATGTTTTAGGTTTTTTCTTAGCGCTTCACATTTGTTGACTCCTTTATCCTCATTAACCTTTATTTTACAGATGAGGAAACTCAAAACATAAGGTTAGATAACTTACCCAGGGTAAAGCAGCTGAGAAATAGCTAGGAAGAAGCCCAAGCATTCTGGCTATTCTCAACACTACACCAGAATAAACGGGGCCGACACACAAGCTAAGGCAAGTCACACTTCTGTACTGGATCGTGAAACAATCACTCTTATGGTTGACAAAGGTTCTGGGATCGTAATTTCCCCACCTATAAAATGGAGATAACGACGCCGGGAGTTTGGTGCAGAGAGAGAGAGAATGAATATGAAAGTGAACTTCAAACTATGTATATGGCTCCACGTACTACTTTTTCCAAATATGAATACGGGAACCCACAAACTGCAATTTATCAGTCGGTAGAGCTCGTAGCGCCAGGGCGAGACTCCGCCTCTAGGGCCCCGCCCACCGCGAGCGGCAGGTGGGGCCGGCAGATCTTCTTTGCGCATGCGGAAACCGCTGCCCGCTCCCACCTCTAAACCAGGCTCAGAGTAGCTGCTGTTTCTGAGAGAACGATTCGTAGGACAGCCCCTGACGCGATTCCCTTTTGCCCTTCTTTCTGCGGGCCTTTTTGGTACTTGAGCGGTGTCCAGAGCGTGACCAGTTCTCGTCTATCCGGCTGTCTTTAGGGAGCGATGACTAGCGTTGGCCAATAGTTGGCTGTCGAAAGTGCCGGCCCCCGCGCCGGCGCCTGCAGCAGCCGGGTGGGAAGGCTCAAGATGGCGTGCCTGTTGGAGACCCCAATCCGCATGAGCGTCCTTTCGGTGAGTGACCCGCTGCGGCCGCCCGCCCGCCCTCCAGGGAGCCCCATCCCGGTCTCCACCATTCCCCCAAGCGTGGTGTGCCTCCTGGGCACCACCCCCTGGGGTGGTCCCCGGCTCAGTCTTGGGCCAGGGAGTGAGCGAGGGTGGACAGGCGGGATAGACGGGCAGAGGGGACCCCGGCCGAGCCAAAGACATTTCCAACTCCGGGAGCTCCTGCCGGTGCGGGTTTCCAGGATGGCGTCTGGCAGGCGGGGTAGCTGGGCTTACAGACAACTGGCCCGACGGCGCGGCTTGGACTTTGCCAAGCGTTTCACTGAGCCTTCCTCTTAGAGATGCCGCTTCCCGGGGGCCGAGCGCTCTGCCTTGTGAAGCGCCGGGCTTGCAGCCGGCCTGGGAACGAAAGCTCACTCAGCTCTCCCGGGCTTTGGCAAGAAGAGGTGCAGGCTCCCTGGCCCCCATTTCCTCAGAGCTGCCAGGCCAAGTCTGTGCGACTTCTATTGCGTCCCAGCACCTGGGCACCGGCTGAAGCTGTTTGCTTTTTGGCAATGGTGATTCGTATCAGCTGCGACTCTTCCTAGTGTGTGTGGTTATTTAAGCCCCTTTCCTCCGCTCTGCTCAGAGGTCGCGGCTCTGAGTCAAAGGAACTCTATGTTCCCTGTGCCTGGTATTCCGTTTTTCTTTAAGGGGAGTCAAACATTGAAGGGGGGAAAAGGGGGAGAGATTTCCCCATTGTTGAAAGAAGGGAACATATTGACATGCGAGGAAGTAAAACCTGTTTTGTTTTTTTTAAAAAAAGTTTTTTTTAAAGAAAAAGACGACTTTCACCTTTCACTATGTTGCTCTTGAACCAGGACCAGGAATGAAAGTTACTGGGAGATAACTTCGAAGGATTTTGCAACAAATTCGAGCTGTCCGACTCTGAGAATGGTCAGTTTACCAATGGTTCATTTGCTATTGTTGGAAACAAGCAGGCAAATACTAATTGACCATCTTTTAGACTTGTGGAAGCCCGTCTGATACTGAGAGGGTCGTTGGATTATAAATGACTTGTCGGGTTCCTAGAGTCTTGTAACTACAACCGGTTTCTTTTCTCTTCTCTGACTTGTCCCACAAACACCTATCTGAAAGCAGCTAGGACATTTGCTTATGATTCAGGGTTAGAGCGGTGTGGCAGACCTCAACCTTGAAAAGGCTTAAGTTGTCAATACAATAATAATTTAATTTTGTGAGCCTGTCAACAGATTTTTCCCCCGATCCATTTTAGCAGTCGTTTTTTCTTATTTTTAAACTGCAACTAAGGAAATACCGTTTACCTAAGTATTATATCAGATTAGCCTGTTACTCCATCACTGACTGTAATACCCAGGAATATTTTGTGGGAGTGCAGGCCAATGACTTTTACCTCATTATGTTAAAAAATAAAAAAAAAAAAAATTGTGTGTCTTGGCTGTTCTCAGTTCCCCTTTAATTATGCATTTAGGTTTCATTTATTCTTCTGTTCACCTGAAGCTTACTTTTTGGATGTTGTCAACTTGTGTAATGCATATGATTGAAAGTTTTCATTTGTTTCACTTCCTTGGTAAATAATATTTTCTGCTTATTCAAAAACTTCTTGAAGAGTATTTTCTATCAATACTTCTATTTACAATTTGCCTTTAGCCCTAGTCTAATTAGGGGCTTTTTTTGGGGGGAGGGGGGAAGTAGGATCTTTTGGGTAAATGATTTAAAATGTTTAAATTCACTGATTTTACTAATTTAAAGTAAAACCTGTACCTTTCAAAGTACTACCCAGAGCACCACGTTTTGAAACGCAAACTAGAACAGGAAGTATTCATCAGAAATTATTTTGAATGGTTGATTCCTTTAATAAGCTACAATGTACCAGTTATGTACAAGCTCTGCATTGTATACCTTAGAGAATGCAAGGATGAGATCAGAAATGTGTTTAAGGAGCTCCTAGTCTGAATGATGGTGTAACTTGATAAACATAATTTCAGCAAGGAGGCCTTCAAGTTGTTTTAAAGGATTTCCATTTGAGTCTCTTTATACCTTCTCCTTGGGAGATCTCATTGATTTTCTTATAACCTTAACTGATCCGTTCACACATCTACATTGCCAACCTTGACTTTCTTCTACATCTAGTCTTGTATCTTAAATTGTGTGTGGATGACACCCATCGCTTCCAGCAAAGCACATTCCTTCTCCTAAGGGGAATTAGTTATGACTTCCCAATTTCTGTTAATGGTATTATCTTTTACTGATGAGTCACTGTTAAACCTCCTGAATAATCTCTGGTTCTTCCTTCTTTCATCCCCCTATATCTATCAGTTGTTAAGCTCTGTTGCTTCTTTATTCTTAGTGTTTCTCGTATCTTTCTGTTCCCATGACCACCCTCATTCAGGACCTTGTTGTTTTGTGCCTGCACTACCACAGCGTCCTTTTAGTTATTTTTACTGTCTCTAGTGTCTTACCCCCTCAGTGCAAGCCCAATGTCTACATTAATTTTCCTAAAGAACTCTGCACAGCTGCTCCTCGGTTTCTTTTCTTTATTGAGTTTGTTTTGCGTAAAGGCCCAAGTTTATATTCAGCTTCAGAATTGAGATTCTTTATTTTCTTCTTTATCTTCTTTTTTGTTTTTTGAGATGGAGTTTTGCTCTTGTTGCCCAGACTGTAGTGCAGTGGCATTATCTTGGCTCACTGCAACCTCCGCCTCCTCAGTTCAAGAGATTCTCCTGCCTCAGCCTCCTGAGTAGCTGGAATTACAGGCACCCGCCACCATGCCCAGCTAATTTTTTGTATTTTTAGTAGCAACGGAGTCTCACCATGTTGGCCAGGCTGGTCTCGAACTCCTGACCTCAAATGATCCACCCACCTTGGTTTCCCGAAGTGCTGGGATTGCAGGCATGAGCCACAGCACCTGGCGGAGATTCTTTATCTTCTACATGAGCCTTCTATCCTTTATAAACTGGCTTTCTCAGGTTGGAGTGATACAGGATTCTTCCAAACTCCAGTAAATCTTATTCTTCTTACTCATTTGTACATATGAATTTTAGCTTTGCATATATGTATTCTGTACATCTACTTTGAGCTTCTGCCATTTGCTGGGCAGGCATGGTGTTGAGTTTGAGAATACAGCCATAAGCTACTCTGTCCTTCTGGAAATGTCAGCCTAGTGGGAAAAATAAATATCAAATAATCACAGTTTGTGAGTGGTGATTAGTATTATGAATGAAGTATATAGGGTGCTGTTCAAACATGTCACAGAGGAAACTGATCTAATATGGAGGGCAATCAGAAGAACTAGGGAAGGTTTCCCTGAAGAAGTGACGCTGAGCTGAGAGTTCAAGGATAAATAAGAACTAACTAGAAAAAGTGAAAGAAGAAGAGCAAACAAGGCAAAGGGAACTGCTTTTGCAGAGGTCTTTAATAATAGTCTATCTTGTCATATTAGAGAGTAAATTAATTCAGAAGTAACACTTTGTCTTGCAAATCCTAGGTACTCAGTACATGTTTGACTGAACTATCTATTTTGGAGGGTTGGACAAACTCTCCAGCCGTATTTCTAGACTGCACTGTGACCACCCCATCCCTCTTTGGTTTGCATTTAGCATTACAACATCACCCTTTTCAACAAATTCATAAATTTCTCCGATTTTTTCTATACTTTTGAATTATGTCAATTGCATTTTTAAAAACGTCTATTTTGAAATGATTATATAGATTCACAAGAAGTTGCAAAGACAGGTCCATGTGTACACTTCACCCAGTTTCCCTCATAGGTTACATTTTATATAGTTACAATACAATATCAAAACAAGGAAATTGATCTTGGTATAAGTATGTATCTATTTCTGTATCATTTTATCACATGTATATTTGTGTAACCATTACCACCACTGTCAAGATACAGAACTATTCTGTCACCACAAAGATCTCTCTCATAGTCCCTCTTTATAGTCCCATGTACCCAGCCCCTCCCCCCATCAGGTATCCCTAACTCCTGGCAACCACTAATCTGTTCTCCATCTCTACAATTTTGTCATTTTCTATAATGTTATATGAATGGAATCATACAGTATGTGACTTTTTGAGATTGGTTTTTATCACTCAGCATAATACTTTTGAGATCCATCCACGTTGTTGCATGTATCAGTAGTTTGTTCCTTTTTATTGCTAAGTAGTATTTCATGGTGTGGATGTACCACAACTTGTTTAACCGTTCACCTGTTGGGCATTTTGGTTGCTTCTAGTTTTTGGCTAATATAACATACTATGGACAATCATGTACAGGTTTGTGAGGACATAACTTTTCATATCTCTGAGCTAAATGCCCAGGAGTGCAATTGCAGGATCGTATGGTAAATGCATAAACTGACAAGCTTTTCCAGAGTGGTGTGGTATCATTTTACATTTCTACCAGTAATGTATGAGACATTGTTTCTCTGCATCCTCATTGCCATTTGATACTGTTATTTTTTTATTTTAGCTGTTTTAGTAGATGTGTAGTAATATCTCATCATGGTCTTAATTTGCATTTCCCTAATGATTAATAATGTTGAGAATATTTTTATTTTTGAGACAGAATCTCACTCTGTCGCCCAGGCAGGAGTGCAGTGGCGTGATCTTGGCTCACTGCAAGCTCCGCCTCCCGTGGTTCATGCCATTCTCCTGCCTCTGCCTCCCAA